AAAAAACTCATGATCATTACTGGTGGATCACCCCTTTTGGTTCTAAGCGGTCTCTGCTCCGTCTTGCTGCTAGGCAACCGCAGGACCTTGTGAAAAGAAAGCGGAAGAGACAATGACATTTGGAGAGCGCACGGTGGAAAAAGACATGTGCCAAGCCTGTTTTAGCTCTGCAATGAGTTGTTTTTGGAGCCTTGTGTACCTGGTTCCAATCAGGGTTTGGAACCCGTTGGCTGGTTCGAAGGATTGATGGAACCAGACCCCAGTTCCTATTATATATGTTCCCAGGACTCACTGGGTTGTTTATGGTCATAGAAGTTAATGGAATTATTATTGGCAATAGGCTGCTCATCAAAGAAAGTCGATGCAACGATGCTTGTTTTCGCCATCACCAATTAAACGCATTTTGATCCAACGATCTCCAAGTGTGGACAAACCACACTATATTATCACCCAAATATTGACTTTGCTACTCAACAACGGTCCTGCCTTAGTCCTTTTGGCACACTGATGAGATTTGGAACTGATGAATTTGGGCTCACTACATGGGCGCGCGTAGCTCGTTGTTTTTGTTCACTGAATTTCCTTGAAGCTTTTGTCACGAGGCCATGTTGGCAAGATTTGTGATCGCTGTGTTTGCCACCTTGCTGGTCGTAGCGGCCTCAAACCGTGACGATGTGGCGGCAATGCTACAACAGTCTCGCAAAGCGGCTTGAATGCGAACACTGTAAAACGATTTGCTGGTTTCTACGTGCTACTTCCTATAGAGCTATTGTAGGCCTTTTTTTCTCCAACAGGCTGCTCACAACTACAAGGTTCTTACAGTGTTTTTGAACCACCTTTGTTCGTACTTTTGAGGACATGGAACCAAGTCAGCTTCAAATGACTCAAGCCGATTCCTGGGAGAACATGGCATTGGGGCGGCTGATGCTCAAAGTGAAGGAGGAGTGCCTTTCATCCACTCAGCTGTGCTTGCCCGCTTTGATTGAAGCCCGGCATGGAGTCTGGCCCTATGTGCAAGCTGAGCTCGGCAAGGAGCTCAAACCGTATGAGCCTCGCTCTTTCACTGCGGACTTCGCCAGCACCAGGCTGAAGGATGAGGTATGCCACGGGAAGACCTTTTTTCTGCTGCATGTTTGGAAAGCAGTCGGCTGGGGAGCCATGCAGAACCTCGGAAAGTTGGCGGGCACCTACCAGCGACATAATCTAGAGGCCTGGCACAACGACCTTCTGGCAGAAGACTGCCAGAACGTGTCCCATCCCTCGACCTTCACCTTTGTGCGCAATCCGCTCGCACGCTTCATCTCAGGATATGCCCAGCTAGAGCAACATCGATAACGATAACAGCAGATTGATTTGTTTGCACTTTCTTTCAAACTTTTGCATCCACACAACCTCGATCTTGCCCAGTTTGTTAAATCTTGGACTCCACAAGTCCGATTCGAACGCTTTCTCGTTTTTTGTGGCGCAGCCAAGGCACTACCATCAGGAGGCCATGGAGCATCGAAAGAACTTCCCACCCAATCCCGTTCTGAATCACTTGACTGGCAAGCCTGGAAGCGTTGGGCGGGCGAAGCAGTTCCTGGACCGTTTCTTCGTGGATGGCGTGCTGCGCGATGGCCACGTCAGGCCTCAGTCAGAATTCTTTGTGAAGCCTTATGGCAGCAAGTGTTTTCTTGCTGTGGACTTCGTGGGCAAGACGGAGAATGTGGTTGAAGACTGGAAACGGTTCCTGGAATCACAGCAGTGCCATGTCATCACCCAGTTTAACCTCACTAAAGGGCGGCATGAAAACAGCATTGGCACCAAGCAGGCCCTCGCTGATGCAGCTGAGATTGGAGGGGCTTCCTCTTTCGTGGAGTTGCAATCAGCAGCGAAGGAGTCCATGGAAGCCCAACTCTTCCAGGGGGCCTATCTACGTGCTTTGTGCTGGCTGTATTTGGTGGATTATGTAATGTTCAGCTATGATCTTCCGCGTGGTTGCGATCATCCGCACATGCTGCACATCGCCCACCTGGCCAACATCTCCGTGAGTGATTCATAGGCGACTGCTGGACTTCACTTGGCGGTGGCATTCGCGACTGGAAACCCGTACTGCTGAGAAGACTTGTAAAAAAGAGTCCGGGATTGGCTGCTGGAGCATGTCCCACAGAAAACATGAAGGAGTACATTGAGCACATGGTAGTGCATGCATGCGTACACGGCGTAAATCCGCCCACACCGCTTGCGGTGCAGGGCGTGTTAGGGGCGGGTCAAGCTGGAATCATCGTCATCATCACATCGTAATCAGTTCATAGCTTTGCTAGGGGGTGGCCTTTTATTTTCGGGGAAAACGTCTTACGCCTCGAGGGCCATGGGGGAGAGCGTTTTGGAGGTACATGTTTGGATTTTTTTGGTTTCGCTGCGACATTTCTGCAACAACCCAAACAACCCAAAAGACGGACACCCACGATGCTTAAAAACCCTCCTGACCAGCAACGCATAACGATCAAGCTAGCCTTGACATGATGTAATGTGGACTAACCAAGCGGGGGCAAGGCCACAAAACGGTCGAACTTGGAGCCTGAATTGGCTTTAACATGGCCACCAAACGAGCAAACTTGTGTGCAACTCAGCCGCAACATGGCCATAGAAATACTGTCATGTGCAAAATTGTTCGACATAATGTGAATTAAGAAGTTGGAACGCACTGACGCTGCCCCAAACTCAACTTTTTTTTGTCGTGAGCTGTGTGCGCAATGGCACGGTGTTACCACTTCTCCGTGTCGTCTTTGGACACCAACTGGCTCGGGTCTCAGTTTCTTTTCTGCCAATGGTTGGGTGTACCTCAATGCGCGTTTGGGGAGTGTAGCACATGCAACGAAACAAAATCGTTTAATTTCAGCACATGGTCCGTAATGAATGGCATTGGTTTCGAAATGGAAAATATGTTAAAGAACGGGGGGATTAGCTTGCTGTGTTTACATGCCTCTACACGCTTTGCGACCACTTTCATGTGTCGTCTTTGGACACCAACTGGGTCATGCCTGGCTCTCAGCTTCTTTTCGTTCAATGGTTGGACGTCCTCGCAGGGCTTTTGGAAAGTGTAGCACGTGCAAAAAAGAAACCGTTCAATTTTGGTGACTGAAATGAACATTTCGGTCAACGATTCGTAATGAATGGCATTGGTTTCGAAATGGATAGTAGGTGAAAGAACGGGGGGGGATTAGCTTCGTGTGTTTAAGTGCCTCTGCACGTTTTGCTACCACTTTTCATGTGTCGTGCATGTGCAAAAAGAATCCGTTCAATTTCGGTCCAAGAAATGAATTGCATTGGTTTGGAAATGGAAAGTTTGTTACAAGAACGGGGAGGTTCCCAGAAATGAATAGCTGGCTGACCTTGCCGATGTTGCTACGATTCACGGCTCCAAAACCCCAAACGAACACCACAGTACAAACATTCGCAAGACCCTACGTTTCCGTAGCACACTTCTGCCTTGGCTTACGCTGTTTTCATCTCCACAACACTGAAAGCTACACTCCTTGTCTTTGTGCGAGCCACCCTGCTACGACACCAGGCACAGCGCCACACAGAAACATAACCAAAGCAATCGCAAAGCTTCTGCAGCGGCTGCCTCAAAACCTCTCTTAATGGATACACTAGTGCACGATTCTCTGGAACAACATCACCTTCCGTTCAACAACACCTCATTTGCGAAACGGCCAGCTCGATACTTTACATTCTCCTTTAGATGCAAATTCCGTCCAAGGTCCCCGACTCCTGCCTTCCGTCCAATCATCCTGATTGGCACACACACACACAGGGTTCTCTTCCCTAACAATCCCAGCCCATCCAATTCCACTACCGAACACATTGCTATTCTTCTCGACACAAAATCCCAGACAACCCCTTCATTAAACAGCACCAACTCCAAACAAAAAAAAGCCCCCACACTTTTTGTTCTGCCCCATCTCAGACACCAATCCAACTTTCAAACACGTGCAGCATATGCAACCACCCATTCCGGACAGCTGCATACCATGCTTCACCACGACTTCCGCACTGTTTACCCACGTCCACTACAGCCCCGCCTCCGGCAAAGCTGCGTCCACACTGTGTCCTCTACACCCTCTGCTCTACCAAAATGCTGCGGCAAACAAGCCAACTCTTTGGACACCACTCTCGACCTCCCCTGTCCACTCCAGCAGTCTTTCCCCAGGCGACCGAAAAAAGAAAGGAGGTGTGGGCGGCGGTCGACGCGAAGCGTCAGGAATATGTTACTAACACTTGAAGCGGTCATGTACAGACCCCGCCTGGCTTTCCGAGCCACGCCCCCGTGCAATGAAAAGGGGCCGTTTGAGCTTTGAGCTTTTGAGTGTGGGTGATCCAGGGCGCGCCACGGCATCGGTGGCTTGGCTGGAGCGGCGATAGGTGGTGGACGCAGGCCGATGCCGAACCATTCGACCATGGCGGTGGGCCTATGTGGCATGGGGCATGGCCTTGGCAAGGGGTCGCAGACCTTGAGTAGATGTTTGGGTCCTCGGAAGGGAACAGCTGGACGAGCGATGGCGACAAGGCCTCCAATGAGAATTGGAGTTAGAGCCGGGGGTGGAGCTCTTCACGGTCAGGTTGAGGAGGCGGCCGCGGATGCGGCTTAGTAAAGATTACATAGAGGACGGGCCTCTTTGGGGAGTGATGTTCATGATCAAGGCAATGATTCAGGATTCAGGACATCAAAAGCGTTCGGGAGTTTGTCAGTCGTTGAACGGACGGGGACAAGGGGGTGCTTGGGGTGATTATCTTCGCCAGGAAGGGGGGCATCGTGATGGGGACGATGGGAAGGTTGGGGGCTACGTCGGCGAGGGGTGAGGACTCCTTCCAGGACCTGCCATCTGGGGAGAACTCATCAGCTGGTCAGGAGAAGGAGAAGAACGCTGCGGGAGATCGAAAAGGCCGGATCTCTTGGAGCTATCCGCCCATCTTCAGGGTCAAGCCTGGAAGAGGGCGGTTGAATTCTGGACTGGTGGGGAAGCAGGCTCCCTGCCATCAGAGTTATAGGCCCGTTCATCACCTCCCAATACAGATGTCAACAAGAAGGACGGGCTGAAGGTCAGCTACCAGACGCTGGAAAGATCACCGGTCATATTCGTCAATTCGATCGGCGTCGCGTTGATCAACATCGGAACGGTTGATGCAGCTCAAGCGACTGCCAGGTGAGTCCGTTGCCATTGAGTCCTATGTGACAAGGGGCAGCATCTACCGGACCCAATTGCAGGCTCTGGGCGACGACATGCAGATGGGAGAGTACTTCTACACTGGACACCTTCTAGATGGCGCCCGGCTGACAAGACGTGACAAAGTGACAAAGTGATGATCCAGTCGCCGGCTTTGATGGGGAGGAGGCCATAACGGTTGCCGTGATCGAATTAGCTCCTGAACTTGAAGGGGAGCATGGATTTGTGATTGGATCTTCAGAGCCAATGTTGCAACTCGGTGTGGGATGAGTCTTGACCCAGCGTGAAGAGAAGGGAAGAAGGAGGTGCATGGCATTGACTTTCAGGCCGGCAGCTTGTATGGCACTGAGGAAGGGGAGAGCCTCGGCGAGGAGCAGTTGCCGCCAGAGTTGACGCGAATGAAGCCTTCGCCATGCATTTCAAGGCCCACCAAAAGATTGCCGAGATCAAGAAACTACGCCAGTACCTCAAGAAGCCGGATGCAGAGGAACGCAAAGTTAAAGGCTGACGGCGGAGAAGATGAAGACTTCGCCATGCCACAAATGTGGGGAGCTGGGCCACTGGTCGCGAGAGCGTCGCACGAAGGGAGCCCCTGGAGTCAGCAACATTAAGAAAGAGGAGAGTGACTGGGCCACCTTAGCCGCCTTTTGCGCCTTTGCGCCAGATGCGAAGCATGCTTGTTCGCGAAATGAGGGGCACATGTGCGGGGCAGTGGCAAGGTGCTCAATGACCACCCAAAATTCATAATAGCCTGTTGGTGCAATCAAGAATTTCATTTACATGTGATTTAGGATTTGGGATTTGTCAAGTCGGTGGCGAGCACCCGCTGAATAAATGCATTGTTGGACGAATGACGGGACGTCAAGGTCGTTGGTGTCGGGTCTTCCGGAAATGGAAACTTTCCAGTTCGGGAATGTCCAGTCCCTCCATAGCAAGTATGTGGTGCATTGTGAAGCGATGTTGGCCTCATGCCATGCTGTTGTCTCGACATGCGCGCAGTTAGCTTGGCATGAGCATCATTGGTGGCAATCATACATGTTGCTCACAGAAGATGAAAGTGAAAACATTTGGTTTGTCTCGTGCCAGCCACGGCCACTACCTCCTGTCCATCGACCGTTTTCACGAAGGGAAGAACAGTTCGAGCTGCCACCTGATTTAGAATGCCGGAGGGACATGAAGCTTGTGTTGTTCAACCGCTTCATTAGGCCGTGATGCTCGAGCCCGAGAACGTGGACCATTCAGTTGATCCACCTGTCCCTTTTCCGCGAACCTTCGCAACTCATGTCGAGCAGCGCCGCCGGGAAGACAACGGAAGAGCAGCGATGTCAGCTTTGCAGGGACGCGGGACACCGTCCGAAGGAGCGCCTGAACATGCCCATCGACCTGGACAACGCCGGGATGGCTCACAAGTTGAAGAGGACGCCGGAGTGGGCGAGAAGAAGAGGCCAGCAGCTCCTCTCCTGATCAGTGCACGCGGGAGCCCGACGTAAGAGATGTGCTTGAGCCAGCTTATGGCAAGGAAGCCGCCTGGGTTTGGGGACACGTGAGAGCATTGCGTGAAGGCGCTGCAGCGTGGGATGCCCAGTTCGGATCTTTCGTCCTGCCAATGGGATGTCGCGGCATTGCCGGCAGTCCAGTTGATTGATATGCCCGATATCACCGGACTGAGGCGCATCTCCTCTTCAAGGGTGAGACCCTTGTCATATCATTCCTGTCCCGCTCGTGGAGCAGCGGGATGTCCTTGCAGTACTCCTCCAAGGGTCCTGTCGCTCAAAGCACCAACAGAACTTAGATCACCAAATCGAGGGCGACGATGTGGTTCTTCCCAAATGGGGTTGGCTGACTTAGCGCCGGCATACCTTGTGTCACCCACACGGATGCAGGGCATACCATGAAGCTGCCCTCCTGATCACAGAAGAAATCTGGTAGAAGACG